TTTTTGTTTTAATTTGCCTTTTGAGGACAAATACACTGTATAGGAAAAAGCATGTACATCATTAATTGCTGTAGTCATTGTCGTGACATCAAAGCGATATTTTAAATAAAGATAGATGGGAAGATATACAAAGAAATAAATTTAATTTCATTACCCTAGGCTGTGTATCTTTGTGGAAATTAAAATTCTAAACTTGAATGAAAAAAATTTATAAGTCACACACAGAGGCAATGTCAGGTGGAGGCAAGGGGTGGTGGGCATCCACCCTAAATATTTGAATTCCTTCCCATTTGCTTTCCAAAAAAATTCCAGTCTCTGGTTCAGCCTACTACTTTGTAGCCAATCAGAATAAGAATGAAAAATCCTGTTACCTTTGCAGCCAATCATAATAAGAATGGAGAATCCTACTACCATGCAGCCAATCAAAATGGAGAATCCTGCCACCTTTGCAGCCAATAAGAATAAGAATCCTACTATACTGCAGTCAACCAGAATAAGAACAGAGAATCCTGCTACCATTTGCAGCCAATAAGAATAATAATAAATAGAGAATATTTAAAAAACTACTTATGGCAAGCTGATTAAATAAACGTTTATGAAAACATTTTTCAGCAAAACTAACCCTTCTTTAGAGCTCCCTATTTTATCTTCCGTGGCTCTTCCCTTATCATTTTTAAACAGAATTTTAAAAAACTTTCCCCCTCAAACCCACAGTCTGCCATTCCTTCACTTTCATAACACTGGAGTTGCCACAGCACAAACATAAAAGACTGAAATAGATCTTAGTATAGGAGACGAAAAGCCAACTCATTTTCTTTATTTCAATAGGCAGTTGCAGTCCATTAAAGTTTTTAGACCCAATAAAGAACTTTTATCTTAAATAGCTACATATAAGTGTAAAATACACAATTTCAAATGAAAAGATACAACACAACATATAAATATATATAATTAAAGAATACACTATGTGTCAATTAGCAGGTGTTTTATTAATAACTATGCTGGAAACTACTTACTGCAAGTTATCTGTTTTGCAAACAGAGAATATAACTTTAATAGTTCTTCGTAATGAGTCCCACATTTGTTTTTTCATCTAACACAGTAAATACATATATATATATCCTTTTTATTGTAGCACTTTGTAAATATTTGGTTTGTTTTAATACACATAACACAGATGGGCCACGAACAATGACACACGCTAGTTATTTTCTGTTGAGCATGATAGCAAGATACTTTTAGTTTTCCTTTTAAGTGTGTGATACATTATGTTCAAAAATTGCTAATACTCAAAAGCACTCCATCATTGTGGGGTGTATTAAACACAGCTTGTCATATGACGTGAAAGGGGGTACACACTCCTCTTCAGGCATGTCCCCTCCTTTACACAATTATACATCAGTAGTATTCATCTAAAAGCTATCATAAAAAGCCATTGCTTACCAGATCTTGACTTGTTTCATACACAACAAAAAGATATTACTAAAAAATTCATGTAATATCATTAATAAAACCTTAGTTCAAAAGCATATTTTGTGACTTTTTTGGCACATGCTGCCAATTAAGTTACAAAGAATGCACAGAATTTACAAAAACAAATAAATGACTACATCATCATGATGCTAATACATATTAACCTTATAGGACAAGTTTAAGATCAAAAAGATACATAAATACATTCAAAATAATCTCTATTTGTTTTTTAATATCACCATCTGGAAATATTAATTTTAACATCTTCACTGCTTAGAACATAAAATAATGTTACATATTTTATTACTAATTTGTACTTAAGAATTAAACTAATGGTCAACTGGATTAAAAACAACAGTTTTTAACTAACTCCGTCCTTGTACTATACAACTAAAGAGCGAGTAAATGTTGGGTGTACGTGTAACAAAACAAGTTTAAAAAAATGGTTGTCGTCTTTAGCACAAAGCTACACAATGGGCTATCTTGCAATCTGTCTCCTGCAGGGAATCAAACCCTGTATTTTAGCACGGTACGTCTGTAAAGTTACTGCTGACCCACTGGGATGCACAAATTTACAAGCAAGAATATTACTTATCATCAGTAGCTGGAAAGATACATTCCCAGTCTATATACATACACATGCATACAATTATACAAAGGAAATAAAAATTTGACTCCTACAAACTGTATCATACAAAGATACACACACATACACAACTTTGTTGACTTTTAATTGTCATTTCATGATGTAAATATTATTCAACATGAAAAACACTCCACGTGAAACCAGAAATTAAACAATATATATATATATATTCTTAATATACACATATTAATTGAACTTGTTTCCAAACAGCAGTATGATTTTAAAATATGACATCTTAATCAAAGAGGTAAGTATGTCTCTTAGTTGTATGAAATTTTATACCTTTATTTCCCTATCCGTACCAAATATGTGCCGTGTGAGAACGGCGTTTTGATCACGTCTTCTCTGCCACTTGCAGCAGTTCATTGGCCGAAGGAATTACACAGCTCTACCCTTAGTTGATTCAAATACTTTATTACAGTGTCGGGAAGTAAGTATATAGTATCAAAGAAGACTCTCTTGCAACTTAATTAAACTAGTAACTTTAATTATGATAAACCTATTGTAACTACAGTCACTATAGGTAGGTAATGGTTAAGACTGGTGGAAGGAAAGAGACATTTGGTAGTGTTGGGGAAAGAAAAGAATGACAATCAACAATGGAATGTTTAGCAGGACAGCCACATAGATGGACCCAATGCAGTCCAGACAGATCGTCTGTAGACTCAACAGCCTTCAATACTCAACCAGAACAACAACCAGATTGCACAATTGGAAATCAAATGAGAAACAAATAACTGCCTAAAATACCAAGACATCATTAATGTATTGGATTAACAAAATAGAGGAAAGTACATCACGAGGATGAGGAGAACAGAAAAATATCACAAAACTTTAGCCATAGGTCAACCATACAAAGGAGAAGCCTATGACAAATAAAAAATGTTAAAGCAATACGTAACAGTGAAGACTGAAAGCAGTACGTTTTTAACTACGTGGCAACAAATGAGATGAGAAAGATGACAAAGTATCTATCCTCAAAATGTTTACATCACTTTTGACAAATGATTCATACAGACGGAGCAGTAATGATGAGCTCAGTAAGAGTAATCCACTGAACAAAATTAAAAGAAAAAAAGAACTTTGTTCTGTAAGCAGTGGAACAGAAGGAAACCAAAATATAAGAGTATTCAAGAGAATAAACATTAAAAAACAGTGGTAGAGAAAGGAAGATGACTAAAATACTTGACTGGCTTAAAGCAGGACTTTAATAAAACCTTCATCAAAAAGTCAATTTGTGTGACGAGAACTTAAATAACAGCTGGCTGAGGGAGAGCTAGAAAAGTTTAAACAGCCAACTGGTAACTGAAGTCCAGGACTTTTCAACTTTCAAGAAACCAATTTTGAGAACTCCTAGAAAGGTTTAAGCAGTCAACTGATAACTGAAGTCCAGGACTCTTCAATTTTCAAGAAACCAATTTTGAGAACTCCTAGGAAGAAGAAGAAACATATGGATTGGAGGTCATTTTAAAAATGAGAGCAGCAAATTGATAAAAACAATTAAAGTGAACAATTTGAAGAAAACAGCGACCAGAAGAATCATTCTGGATGAGAGGATACACATCTCAAACTTACCATCAACATCATCCTGGAAGGTACAGACTGATAAAAGATCTGAGAGGAGAATCCTCATGAGAGGATATTCATGTTCAGAACTGACATGAAGTTTAAATGACTTCGGAATCAATGTAAAACTGTGATAAAGTACAGATGGAAACCCTGGCCAAAAACAAAATTAAAATGCACAAGTATTCCAAAGGAACAGACATAACTTGCAATGGGGCTTGGTACGATAACAAGAAAAAATTAAAACATCTGGATGGAGAAAAAGACTAATATTGTCAGAAGATGAACAGAAGAAAAAAGGATAATAAATAAAAACAGAAATTATGTCACAAAACTACACCTTGAAAGTTCACCACAGTACCAAGAACTTAACACATAGATATGCAAGTACAATTCAAATATGTCAAAAGTAAAATATCAGCTGCTTAAGGTGATGTATACAGAATTTGAAGGTCAATTAAGGGGAAAGCCATATAATTACCTTGTTATTGGCCTAAATATACAGCAGTCAGAGGGAATGACAATACAACATGAAAACATTTTTTCATAAAACAACATATTCATAAATGGGAAGATAGAGCAAAGAATAAAGGTCTGAAAATTTCAATAACTACTATAACTGTAGAGGTAATGTATGAGGTCTGAAACCTTCCACAATCAAAATAACTACTAAAACAGTTGAGGTAACGTATCTTAAAACAACAATATGAAACTATTACATTATTCTTTGACAGAAAAGAAATTTGTCAAACCAAAAAAAAATCAAACTTTTTATCGTATTCTCGTGCACAATTATGAAACATTATTTTAAACAACAAATGCAAAGTTCTCTTTTCTCAAACTAATTAAAATCTCGGCTATTGATTCGTTATATTTTAAATAATTTAGTGAAGAAAAAATAATAATCAAAATTAGTAAACAAAAACAAAAAAAACGTATTTTAGTTTCGACAGTTTTATTCCTTCCTTGGTTAAACTAGTATAACATTTTTATTTGTTTAAGATAAAAAACAGAAGGATATGAAAAGTATAAGGGACACATGCATACAAATTCTTAAATATATATTAAAACAGATGGGTATGAAAACATTTTGTAAAAACTGTACATAAAAAACTTACAATGAGGTACTGCACATATCTGTAAATTACAAACAGAAATAGTATATATATATATATATATATATAACGTATAACTATCTAGAAAACACACTTAAATCACCCCACACTACCGCACATACAATTTATACATGAGCAAGTTTCCTATATGCAGCTCAGCTAATCTCAATAAGATATTTTGCTAATATTTGTATATTTCTAAGCCACACAGCACAATATTCAGCATATAAATAACAAATTGGAAACTTCGGTAAGAACTAGTTTCAATCCTGATAGGAATAAGCTGACGTCACATGCTAATAATATTGTATTTAACCAAGGCCACTAGAGTTTCCTTCCATTACAGTTTGTGGACGTCATCTTTCTTATGATCCATTGTTCCCATCGTCCCATCATCACCTCCAACCTAAGATGGACAGAATATTTACTTTGAGACACGAAACAAAACTTTCTTGTAAACTGTATTTCACTGGAAACTATTATAATTCAGAATAGTCAACATAATTGAAAATCATTTGAATTTCTTTACAATTTAACGTATACAATACAGCAAACACGTTCAGTAAACCATGAAGTAGTAAGTTAAAGAAAACATAGAATGAAATTTCAACAGTTCATAGCATGAGGAAACAATCAGTTTTAACTTTATACTTGTTTCTGACTTTCTAAATAACTGATGGGCGTGTCCATATATTTTTGTTTACCTTTGCAAATAAAAATGGAAACAAATAGATTTTTCTTCATAGGCTCAAAAAGGTACTCAAACATATCTAAGTTAGTATATTACCAAAAACCAGAAAAATAAAGTCCTCATAATGAAGGTAAATTAAAATACACTGTCATTATTACCAAGTGTAATGAAAAGCTAATTGATGTAGCTCACTTTACGGAACAATGAGAGCCAAATATAATCAATCCCTCAACAAACGAACAGTTACTTTTAAATTGTTACTTCTTGCAGTTCACATAATCGTAAATAGGCAGAGAAAGTATACCTTATCAAAAACTCTTTATTTGATGACATAAACCTGGAACATAAGGTAAACTCGTTTTTTTCATAAATAGATCTTAATGTAGTATTCTTTAACTGTGTTTACTTCGTTGTTAAATTTCTTAAGTGTCTACTATATTTGGTTCAAATCCTCTATAAACAAACAAAAAATTTAAGTTTACCTTATGTTCCAGGTTTAACAAGTCAATTATATAAAGTATTTAAAAAGCATCAGAATTTTTATCCTACCTTCAAACCAATAACTAAGATAAAATACATGAATGGAAATACTAAAGATAAAATAGAATTAACAGATAAAACAGGTATTTACAAGATAGAATGTGAATGTGGTGGTATTTATATTGGTCAAACTAAAAGAAATTTAAAATACAGATTGCAGAAACATAAAGGTTATATAAGAAATAATAAAATATAAACCTCAGCTATAGACGAACATGTAAAAACTAACCAACATACAATATTATGGAAAAAACTTCCATCTCGTGGTGTTATAGCATTAAATATTAGAGACACATTAGAAATAATGAAATATAAAAAACAAAAAGAAGTATTAAATAGAGACAAAGGGCCAGCAAGTCAATATGTTGATATATGGCAGGATATATTATAATATATATATATATATATATAAAATACACCAAGGAAATATCTTCTTCATAACCACCAACTGATAATGTACCGACTTTATAAAATATGAAGAAGGTATCAGTACATTATCTTGGTGGTTTCAGTACATTATCATTACCTTCTTCATAACCACCAAGTTTTAATGTACTTATACCTTCTTCATAACCACCAAGTGTTAATGTACTGATACCTTCTTCATAACTACCAAATGATAATGTACTGATACCTTCTTCATAACCACCAACTGATAATGTACTGATACCTTCTTCATAACCGTCAAATGATAATGTACTGATACCTTCTTCATAACCACCAAATGATAATGTACTGATACCTTCTTCATAACTACCAAATGATAATGTACTGATACCTTCTTCATAACCACCAACTGATAATGTACCGACTTTAT